ACTTGTCCGATTTCCAAACACAAGCTACCTGGCTAAAGCTAATAAATACGTTTATACTGCAGGAAATGAGCAAAATGCGGAAAAACCGTCTAAATCTGGCCGTGCGTTCGCTAGTCTTGCGTCTGTCTGGTTTAAGGCGGTGAAAGAGCAGCCTGCGTTTGGAAAATCATGCCTCTTCCGCCGCTTCAGGACTCGTGTGTGAAGCAAGACGCCAAACTACCGATTCTACTACGGGAAAGGCGTTCCTCATGAATATTAAGTACGCCGTGTGCACGTTGCCCGGCAACCTTCCGGGAGCGTACGTTTACATCATCTAATTAATATTCAATGAGTGGTCTAGCTTGCTCCTGAGTCTCCGATGCTAAATATTAAATCTGTTGTTTTTTATTTGTGAGATGTTTTTTTGTTTCATTGTTTTATTTTGCACTTCTTTGGCGACCCAAATATATATTTTATATATATACATTTCTGACACCCACTTAACATCTCAAAATAAAATTGTCTTGCAGTAACTGTATATGTAGGTAATAGTATACTATTACTAATTAATATTATTATTATTAATATTTATTTTAGGAAGGTGTATTTGAGGAAATCATCCAGTTTGTATTAATTAATAAACATTTTTTCTATATATAGAGTTACGTAATTTTATATTTAGACCTGTTTGCGTTGCAGCCAATCCGACAGGCGTAGGAGCCGAACGCCACGTTGCGTCATTAATATTCATGAGACAATCCTTTATTGTAGTAGGATTCGTACTGCACGCGGCATTTAAGGTGGCGCTCAGGAGGCCCATTTTAAGATGTCAAATGGATGAAGTGACAGTAGCCGGAAGTGTGTTCTGTCGGTGGAAGGTGTTGGAATTGCGCTGCTTTTGTTTCTGTTAAGTGCACAGCGACTCCAACCTGCAATAATAGCAACTGCACCCATGGGAGCATTTCCACTGTATTGAACATGTTATTTATTAATACCTCTAATAGAGGAGATATTACAGGTGTATGTTGAAGACGACATCCTTGGATTAATATAATATAATGTTTTTAATATTTATGTATTTTAGATATTTTCTTTAATGCAATCTCTATGTGCCCCCTTCTGGACAAAAAGCTAAACCATATTTGGCAAACAATTTAAAATAAAGGGCACGAGAAATTATAATGCAGATAAAACTAAATGACTTTCATTTGAAACCTCTTTTTAAAAGCAGGGGTTTAACACTTCAGCATTTCAGGCACTGCACCGAAAACAAGTTACAAGACCATCAGCAAGTATAGGAACAAATTTATTTAAATTGAAAACAGATACTTTATAATTATTATTTTTTTTTTTAGAAGGCGGTTATGAAAATCATTTCCATGTTTGAATGAGGTTCAGGCAACAGTGGTTGAAATGAAACGAATACAAATAAAAACAACAATAAAATATGGCGAGAATGCTGCAAAATAAATTTCCACTATGTTTTCTTGAGGATTTCGATGTTTGTCTGAGCCCACAACTCCCAGCTGGACAAAGAGCACATGCTTTAATAATTACAATTCCTTAAAAAAAAAAAAAAGAGGAAAAACAGCAGTTTATCGTCTAACTTAAATACAAAGTAAATCTATTTACCCTCTTCTTTAGTGTTTTACTCATTTTTAAAAGGGAACCGTGTCTAATTTCACAGTCCGCATGTGATTTGGACAACAATTGGCACTTGTTATGAGTCTCAGAGAAGGGGATTGGCACGCACAATATTATACAACATTTACATTTGGTATAATTACAAAATAAAAGGGAACAAATAAGCAGAAAAAGAATGAGTGAGAAAACCCAAATAAAATGTACATGATCAAGTGGTCCTGGAAATAACAGCTTTCAGGCAATGCATTACAATGAAAGAACAGGGGATGAAAAGCAGAAATCACATTTTAATGACTCTTTCATCGGGTCAGGACGTCAACCATTCGACCGTCCGCCACACAGATGCACCTAACCGTACCAGTAAACATGCTCGCATGGAAATAACAATCGTCTCGCTCTGTTGTCTGCAATGGGCCAGCAAATCTGACTACATCAATACGCTTATGTGTTCATTGCATCTCACCAAGCGAGTCTTACAAGCACTCAAATGCAAAGAGAGTCATTGAACTGAATCACAACCATCATGAGAACTCAGACCCTAGAGAAAGATAGGAATGCGTACGATTTTTTTCGAGCTGGATAAGTCAAAAGTGAACACAGTGCAATTGGCTGCCACAAAAGCAACATCCACAGCCAATCTTCCTTTTCAGGAATAATAACATCCGGTATAATGGCACAGACACTTGAAGGAAACTCTAGCGCCCTCTTGAGTGCTGAGGATCATCAACAAGACATGTTTGCAATACTTTGCTCAAGCATTTATGCTTTGTATATGGTATTTCCTAGACTAAATGATATCCAAACTGTTACCCAGAACAGCCAAAGCCTTCATAACTGATATGTCTATTCACTTGTCCGCTGCAGAACTGAAACAAAAGCCGTGGGACAGACGCTATTTTCCACGTACCACTTGGCGGACCTGTTAGGAAGATTGCTTTGGCCTGAGAAAGGTGTTGTTTTTGCCATGTTTACATGCGGGTCAATCTAATAAATGAACAGAGTTTGGCCTTCAAACCTCACTGACTGTGTCCTACGGACTTAAAAGTGTGCTTGTCACGTGACTACCGATCCTAAAATGCCAGAAAAACGTCTCATGGTTCACAGAGGTAGAGGTTTTTTGAGGGAACGTCGAATACGAGACTTCTGGGACTGGCACAGTTATAGATACGTGTAGCTCGAATGGTCGGCCTGCGGCTCGAAGCGTTTGCCTTGTGGCACGGGAAAACCAAAAAGTGCATTAAGAACAATCAAGCTGCGCCGAATAACGCCCCCTTTGTTTTTTCTTGATAAAACAAAGCAACACGGTCGCATAGTGAACCTCGAAAGTCGCAGTAAACTAAGATCCGTTTGAACACATCAGAGTAAGACGTACATCAAAATGATAGTATTTCAGTTTGCTTCGTTTCATCACTTTCTTCAAATCTAACTCACTACGAACAGCGAAGAAAACACTGCAGGATTTACAAAATGGTGTGACATTTCCAAACCCCACTTAAACACTGAATTACACGGGTTCAGTTTACAAATAACACGTCAGGTTTTATATCCATCAAGAAAGCGTTTGGGAGTTTGCTTCTCTAGTAGTGCGTCCGATGACCGTGGCAAGTGATTAAATCAGATGCATGGCAGCAAAAGTGATAAAATAATGAATAATGCATGAGTGTTTGGCGGAATGGGTGCATTTCTGATCGCATTTCTCCCAGTACTGAATCACACTTTGAACTATGAATTTCTGGTTTTCATGTGGCATGTTTTTCGTAGCCCTTGATGAAAATGAATGAAACGTCACCTGTATAAAACATCGACTGTAAAAGAACCGTAGAACACTTTTTTTCTATCTGTGCATCACATACACAACGAAGGAAACAAGCTGTGAATTTATAAAGAAATCGAAATGAAATCAGAATCGAAAGGAAAAGTCACTACTTGCAAGCGTCGACCAAATAGATCTTCAATCACAGATAAAAAGCTGTCTATTTTCATATGGTACATTTCCTATGTTTGTTTTTAAGCACTTCACCTAAACATAATTTGGAAATGTAACAATTAAAAAAAAAATAAAAATCTGTAGGAACGTGAAAAGTGTGGTTAGGGAGAATATTTATAGTACAATATATTGTGTGTTTGGGGGGAGAAAAAAAAAAAGGCTGATAATTTTATCCATAACGGAGGTTTATACAGCAGTACAGACACTAGCCTCCTATTTCTGTCTCATAACATGGGAGTGCTTCAAATAGGAAAGAGGAAACAATAGCATTCAAATTATCAACAACTTCAGATCTGGTCCATAAATTATATAAATAAAACGTTCTTTATTTAATAAATTTTTTCTTTTGCTTAAAAATCATATTTTTATTTTTATGCTATATAACATTCACACAGTGGAGGAGGCTGTTTCCCTATCCGTCTCCGAAGTTTCCAAACGCTTTCCAAAGTCTGCTCTAGACTATTGCTCCTCACGTCCGTCCTCCACACGTTACCGTCAGGTACAGCTACGTGTATATCATTTGACGTATTCATAGTGACCAAAAAAGACAAATCAAAAATTAAAACAAAGAATCACAGTATCAATAATATTGTAATTCATAAGAAAACCAACAGAACCGTACACAATTACGAAAAAGTGATTTTTTTCTTTTTTGCCAAAGATAGTGTACCACAGACGTTTTGTACATAAGCAACAATGTGTATACGTATTTACAAATATAAATATACACTATCAATTAACTTCAGCGCATAAATGCTTTCCTGTCCCCCTGACCCCGTCCTCCCGCGACCCTCCCCCGGAGCTCGTGCGAAATTCTTGAAATTGTCGACCGAAGTAGTTACGTTATGACAGTTTAAAAACTGCGTAAACAAATAATGGATTGTGTGCATCCGTGCCGCTAGACGACGACGACGATACCCGCGAGTCTGCGGCCTGGATCATCTGTTCATGAGCGGAAAAGGATAATCACGCACTCCGAAACTACTTTTTTAGATTGCGAAATTAAAACGAAACCAGGAAGGAGGATAAAACATAACAACCATGGGGGAAGGAAGCAATGCAATCATTTTCAACGTTAAATGTGGAAATCTGCAGAACAATAGCTATCGCAAATGTGTAATCCTGTTTTGCGCACATTTAAAAATCTTTAACGTTGTCTCTTACCCATCAATAATTCGACTGCTGTTATAATTTACTTTATATTCGATAGCAGTAGAAGTAGCTATAGTTACTTATCATTAAAACGTTTTTAAAATGATCATCTCAGCAATATACACAGATTTAATTAGTTTCATCTCTCCCTTGCGTGCTTTGTATTGGTTTGCTTATAATGGCATTCTTATACTATTTTCGTTCATTATCATTTTTTTAGGAATTTTTTTTGTCGGCGTTTTTTTTTTTTTTTTGCATTTGCGATGCTCTCACATGAAGTTTACATTCATCGATGCACGTTGAAGACTAGCCTCGTCGAGAGAATCATCTCTGCGAGTGACAGGTTCTCCACAGCATCAGTGGAACCCGCTGGAACCCATTGGATTCTAGAATCCGCCGGAATCCTCGGAATTCTAGAAGGATCCGTTTCGGAACTTCTGGCACCACAGCACTAGTCCATGTGTCCATGTAAGTATGTTGTGTTTTTTTTTTTTGTCTTTTTGCAGGGCTGTGAAAACCACATTTTTCCATTCATCCACGCAGAATTCCCGAGAAACGCTCGGAGCAGATGACATGATTGGAGCGAGTGACGGCACAGGAAAGGGGAAGGAATGTCACTTCCAGTTTTTCAGGCCAGCGTTATCACAGACCATTCTCATAGTAGCTCCGCCAATCCAACATTTCCATGAAATACGCGAACGTTGGAGCGCGGAGTCGGAGTCTAACACCCTTTGTCAAATCCGAGCCACTTTATTTCGGTGGTCAAATTTGATAAAAGGGAAAGAGGCCTTTGACAAGAGCTGCCGGGGATGAGCGGACAGACTTGGGCAAACAAATAAAAAACAAATGACGAGCAGGACACGTCTGTTATGATTCCGCTGGACAGAAAGAGAAAAACTCTGGAAGCTGGGAAAGAGAAATCAAAAGAACCGTGTTTCTGAAAGTGTACATGATGCATGCATGTATGTGTGTGTGTGGACGTAGGTGTGCGCACACTCTGTGGGTGCCTGTTCTATGCTGATTCATGTGTCGGACTCGTCGCACGTCTCACACCAGGTTGTATTCCTTCAGGTTTAGCTGCAGGATGGTGTCTTTCACTGCCGCGAACACGAAGCGGATGTTCTCCGTGTCGGTGGCGCAGGTGAAATGCGAGTAGATGATCTTGTCGCTGTCGGGGTTCAGATCCACAAACATCTTTAGGATGAACTCCCGTGCGGCCTGGGCATCCCTTTGGGGCCCTACAAAACAATGTGTAAATGGAGTTAAACACTTTAGAAGACCTGAAAAAGTTCATCTTTGCTATTAATTTGCTCCCCACGAATCAAACCAACCAGCTCCAACATGAATCACATATAATTTGATTTGGAACAAAAATTGACATTGAGAAATTTCTCACTTAAGACATACTTGTGTTCAAAATGGGGCTTGTAAGATTTTTTAATGTTTCTGAAAGAAGTCTTTTCTGCTCACCAAGGCTGCATTTATTGGATCAAAAATACAGTAAAAACAGTAATATTGTGAAATATTATTACAATTTAAAACAACTGTTTTCTATTTGAATATATTTTAAAATGTACATTTATTCCTGTGATGCAAAGCTGAACTATCAGCATCATTACTCCAGTCTTCAGCGTCACATGATCCTTCAAAAAATTATTCTAATATGCTGATATGCTGCTCAAGAAATATTTCACATTAATATTAGTTTTTGTAAATTTTTGTGAAAACCCTGATCTTTTTCTTTGATGAATCTAAATAACTTATTTGAAATGAAAGTCTTTAGACATTATAAATGTCTTCACTGTCACTTTTGTAATGCATCCTTGCTGAATAAAAGCATTCATTTACTACCCAAAACGTTTGAAGAGTGATGTAGAGTTTATAAAATGTATTGACAATAGACATTTCCATGACTTTTGTTGATTCTAACCAACATTTTCACTGCTGTTACGCTCTATAGCGGCCTTTCAAACATGCCACAGAAAAGCAAATAACATCAGTAGCTTATAAAACACATGCATACATTGGTACTGATTGCATTAAACCAGTGTACATGAAAATCACAGTACAACAAAAAAACAACAACATACCATCGAACTCTGGGAAATAGTCGACCAGGTGGGAGTAGGAGATCTTCTCCTCCAGCAGGTCCTTCTTGTTGAGGAAGAGGATGACAGAAGAGTTTTGGAACCATGGATATGTGATTATCGTCCTGAACAGAGCCTTGCTCTCCTCCATACGATTCTGAACACAGACACAAAGAGTGGATCGCCGTATACGTCAAAATGCACAGTAAAACTCACCAACCAATAATATAAAAGCTTTTAGAACCTTAAGTCCAGAAATAGCATTTACGAAAGATGTAGAAATATTTACAACTGTTGGTCTTCAAAGAGCAGCTATATGCTGCTTACAGCAATTTTATACTGAATATGGTCTACTTTTCCTTAAAATTAGCTTTAATATTTTAATTAAATTTTTTATCCATTTTTTATTTCCAACTTTCTATTGATTTTTTATTTCTTATGCAGTTTTTAGGATTATCTTTAAAACCTTTTATGTAAAGCGCTTTCAATTACCATTGTGTATGAATGGTGCTATATAACTAAACCTGCTTTGCATAGAAACAGTATGTGAAATAGTGTAAGGATAGAGTGCAGTGTAAAGACAAACACGTCTATAATAAATGAATCGCTTACCTCGTTGTCCGATTCCACTAGAACCTGATCGTACTCGCTCAGAGCCACCAGGAACATGATGGACGTCACATTCTCAAAACAGTGGATCCACTTCCTGCGTTCTGACCTCTGACCCCCAACATCAACCATCCTGAAAGACAAAGAGAGCAAGCGTTTGCATTATTGATTTTTTACTGACATTGTATGCATTAATAATTCATGCTTATACTGTGCACAGTATGCAAATCCTCTGTATGCATGGAGCACGGTGTCCCATTATGCAAAGATCTTACAGTTTCTAGTGTGCTGAATGCAACCGGCACAATATTATGTGCCGGTTAAGACATTTTAAAGCATATTTGGATTGACAGCTGGGTGGGTTGAAACTACAATATATTGAGGTCATGTGACAGCAACAGTATAGTACTGTTTGTTTATCATTGCATAATGCATACTTCTTTACATATTTAAAAAAAAGCAATATACAGTATATGCATACAGCATACTGCATACATCATAGTGTGCAAGCATTTAATTCTGAACAAAATCTGTCACTTTATGCATACTGTATATTATTTTTAAATATCACGTTGCATTCGAATTTTAGGCCTGCGTCAGCCGTCAGGCAGCCTTATCAGTAAGTGTAGGCTACGATGTAAGTGTCATTGCTTTTGTTAGCCTATCCAGTTGAACCCACTAGATTCAAAACACACTGCTACGTTGTCCATTCAATATATTGCGGAAAACGAGAGCATCAGTGTGGAGATGTTGTTGTTTACATCAAAACTGAAACCAAGCCGTTCACACAGAACGCATATTTATCAAATTTTCTAGAGGGACATCTATCAGCGTTGCACTCACGTCTCGCACAAGAGAGCGGCATGTTTAGAAAGCCATGTAAAATTAATGCAAGTTCAACTTTTACAAAACATGTCTCAAGACTTCATGGCGTTCTTTCCCCATCCCACTGTATCTCATGTTTTTAAATGAAGAAATTAGCCTACTCTTTGTGATTGGTTTTCGGCCCTTTGTATTAAACTATACATACATGCATGGTGCTGTTTTTTTTCAAATAGTTTAAGCAACTTTATTAATTATATATGGTTTATAAACAATATTTTAAACATTATGCACTTTTTTTTCAAAGATAGTCGTGTTATTTTATTACGCTTTGAAGAAACGTGCATAATATTTTGCACGATGCGCCCTCTTGTGGCCTCAGGAGAGAAGCCAAAAGCTTTTTTTCCCCTAACTGAAATTATGCCTTTTAAATTCGAATATAATATTTAAGTAGAAAATTTGAATTTAGTTTTTCAGTTATTTTGACAGTGTGTGTATTTTTATATACATGTGTGTATATAAAAATACACACGCATGCATGTATATATTTAGGAAAAATATGTTATGTTTATATTTTAAATATATTTATATATAATATAAATTATATGAATATAAATATATATATGAAGAGTTTGGTTCCAAAACGCTATAAATCCATTTTGATTAATTTGAGTAAAAATGTGTTTTCTTTACCAAGAAAGTGTCAAGATGAAAACCACTATTTTCGGTTTCAAACTTTCACATAGCATCTTTAGGTTATAATAACATTAAAAATTCAAATCCACATTTTGATTTTCAAAGATTTATTATAAAATTGTGCTATTTTTCCCCCCAAAACGCAATAAATCCACTGAATCAATATAAAGATTATTTTTCATATTGAAACTGTTGAAAATACACAACATAGTAAGTCGATCCACATATGACAGCCTCTGAACTTGGTCAATACTAATCTTATATACAGGCACTGGACTAAAAATACATTCAATCAGTCATCGCTCCCAAAATGAATTCAACGGGTCATCTTGTTAATGCTATAAATTAATTACAACATTAATTACAACAGATATAGCAGTGGTCTACGTCTCGGTGTATTAAATGCCGCTCCATCTGAAAGCACGTGGTGGAGATTTACTATTAATCACAGAACCGGCTTTACTGACGAGATGCGCATGACAATCACATGCGATTTATCATGCAGCCCTAAGTTTGTTTGTTGATCACAAAGTACAAAATAGATGAAGAGAACTAGGAAGCCGGGAGTATTCAAAGCGCCGTCATTACTGTCTAGAGTGCGTGGAATGGTGCTCTGTGATTGGTTGAGCGGATATATCGCATTCTGCAGAAAAGGGAGACTGGCGTTTGTCTGGAAAGAATCGTGTTTGTTTGGAAAGAAAGGAAGAAAACATGACAGAATAACTAGGTGGATATCGCATTTTGCATTAAATAAAAAAATCGACTTTTCAATACCGACCAGATACAATAC